TTACAATAATGATTTGGGTAGTTCCCATAATGATTAGCTTAGTCTGTTTGAACTGCTATAACAAATTGCCATAGACTAGATGGCTTATAAACAATAGAAATTTATTTCTGTCAGTCCTGGAGGCTGCGATGTCTAACATCAACGTACCAGTAGATTTGGTGTCTAGTGAGGGCGTGCTTTGTCTCTTGTCGATTACTGTGTTTTCCTTGTGTGCTCGCATTGTGTAAAGGGTGTGAGCACTTCTTGTTGTTGTTTCTTACCTTTTTCATTTTATGTATTTAGTTTTTACTTTAAATTATTTTTTATTTTTCAATTACAGTTGACATACAATATCACACCAGCTTCAGGTATACAACCCAGTGACCAGACACTATGTAGCTCACTAAGTAATCATCCTGATAACTCCTGTACCATCTGACACTGCCCCCAGCTCCCCAGCTACCATAATACTATTGACTATACTCCCCACGTTGTACTTCACATCCATGCTACTATTCTGCAGCTACCAACTTGTACCTCTCAATCCCCTCACCTCTCCTACCCATGCCTCTTGCTGCCCCTGTCCCCAAAATGGCAACCACCAGTGTTCTGTGGAATCTATGAGTCTGTCTCTATTCTGCTTGCTTGTTTTTTCTCTTTTTGTATTCACTTGTTGATAGATATGTATTTATTGTCATTTTATTATTCATATTTTTGACCTTCTTCTTAAAGAAGACACCTTAACATTTCATGCAATATTGGTTTGGTGGTGAAATTGTTTAGCTTTTTCTTATCTGGGAAGCTCTAGATCTGCCCTTTGATTCTAAATAATAGCTTTGCTGGGGAGAGTAATCTTGGTTGTACGTCCTTGCTTTCCATCACTTTGAATATTTCTTACCAATCTCTTCTGGCCTGTAAAGTTTCTGTTGAGAAATCAGCTGACAGACGCTTTATTGAAGTTCTCATTAAGTTCATCTACTCTTCCCATCAGTTCACTGAGCATCCTTATAACCAGTGTTTTGAACAGTGCATCTAGTAGATGGCTTGTCTCTATCTTGGTTCATTCTTTCTCTGGAGTTTTGTTCTGTTCTTTCTCTTGGGCATGTTTTTTTGGTCTCCTCATTTGGCAGCCTCCCTTTGTTTGTTTCTACATATTCGGTAGAGCTGCTGTGTCTCCCAGGCTTGGTGGAGTGGCCTTGTGTAGTAGGTGTCCTGTAGTGTCCAGTGGCACAGCCTCCCTATTCACCCAAGTTGGACACTCCAGGTGTCCCCCACCCTCATGTGTGGGCTGTGTGTGCCCTCCTGTTGTAGTTGATCTTTGACTACTGTTGGCACATCAACGGGAGGGATTTAACCGTCCCCCTCCACACTTTTTCTGCTTGGCTGCAAGGCCTGGCTGTGATTGCCATGGGGGATCAGCAGTGCAGGGTTCCACCCCTGGAGTAGGACTTCCTGCAGCAGGACTCTGGTTGGTACCTGATGAGTTCATCCCTTGAGTGTGGCTCTTCTGAAGGTGGGTGGGTGGTGCTTTGACATGGTCTAATGCTGTTACTGGGTGCGCTGGCTCTGGGGCCTCCTGGGAGGTGCAGGCAAGGTCAGCTGCTGCCTGTGTTCTGCCTGCAGTCATTCAGCATGAGCTACAAAGTAATTTGCAGATGGCTGCTATTTGTGCTGGGCTTGGAGGTACTCAGAAGAGGTTAAGCTGCAAACCAAGGCTGGCTGCTGCTAGTGCTGGGCCTGGGGCCACCTAGCTAGAGGTACAGGGCACACCAGATGCTGCTTGCTTGAGAGATTTTAGGAAAGTCTAAAGTATGAGCCAAAACAGGCCATTTGTATTGAAAAGCCACTGGAAACAGTTGGATGGGGCAAGGTCTTAGGGAATCTCTAGGGAGCAATGAACAGTGATAGCCAGGTTGATGGAGACTCAGATATGGCTCTGGCCACCAGCTGAGTCTGGGGAGGGCTCAGGAAAGGAACACTGACGTCTGCTAGCACTTCTGCCTTGGAGAAAGCCACCCCTCCAGCGCTCGCCCCGATGCCAACAATTCAGTTTTTCCCCATCTGTGTCTGGTACACTTTGAGCTGCTGCCCAGCACTGGAGCTGAGGGTGAGTCTGAGTAAGTCTATGCATGGGCCCTTTAAGAGGACCTGCCTGGAACTCCAGAAGTAGTCCATCTTACTCAGCCTCAGCCCCTGCTGGTTTTTACAGCCAGAGGTTGTGGGGACTTCTCTTTCTGGAAATGGAACCCTGGGCTGAGGAGGCCTGGGTTGGGACTGGGACACCTTGCTCCTCAGTGGGGACCTCCGCAGCCAAGATACCCCTCCCAGTTATTATCTGCCAAATGTTGATGTGGAACCAGCCTGTCCTGTTTCTCTGCCCCTCCTATCAGTCTTGATGTGGCTTTTTTGTATCCTTTGTTGTAGGACTCCTGTTCAGCTAGATTTTAGGCTGTTACTGAATGATGCTTGTTCTGTAATTTAGTTCTAATTTTGATGTGGTCGTGTGCTGCGTTGTGGAGAGGCAAGGCGGGGGGTACTGTGGTGGGGGAATGCCTCCTGGGTCGCTCCTGGGATCTGAGGGATACTGTCCGGGGCCAGCTGAGATGGGAGCGGGGCTCTGAATCTAGCAGAGCCCGTCCCGGGGTTGTCATGGATGAGGGGGATAAACATAAATTGTCGTAGGCGTTTCCCAACAGTTGTGGGAGGTGCCGAGTACCACGTTTATTCAGATTCCTTCTTTTGGTGAAGCCTTCGCTGGCCACCTAGTCTAAACATCACTCTTCTAATATTTCTTTACATTTTTTACTCCATTTACTTTTTTCCTCTTTGATACTTAGTCCTGTTTAACTTAATATAATTTACTTATCGTGGTGGTTTCTTTTTTTCCCATTAGCCCATTAGTTCTCAAACTAGAACTTGCATCAGAATCACATGGAGGGCTTTAAAATTCAGAGTGTTTGGCCCCAACCCAGTTTCTGACCTAGTAGACCTGGGACAGGACCTGGCAATTTGTATTTCTAACAGTTGCTGGGAGATGCAGAAGCTGTCAGTCGGGGCTGTGCTTTGAGAACCACCGCACTAGGAGTGAGGGCTAGATGAGCTCTGTGCGGACACTGATTTTATTGGTGGTGTTCGCTTCTGTTTCATCAGTGCCTGGAGGAATGTAGACATGCAGTGTCCATTTAGTAAATACTTTTTGAATGAATGATCAATAAATCTGTCTTGAAAAATTAAGAGCTACAAGCAATATCAAATGCAAATACCCTACTCAAAGAATGCTGACGCTTAACCTGTTTTATGAAATATAACGGTTGCAAAGAATTTAAATTATGTTTTGCTCTGTAGGAAGGGAAAATGGAGGCTGTGTAATTAATTCATTTGTTTTTAGGAAAATAGCTTTATTGAAATATAATATGCCTACCATTCAGTTCACCTCATTAAAATGTACAATTCAGTGGTTTTCAGTATATTTACAGAGTTGTACAGCAATCACCACAGTCAGTTTTAGGGCATATTAACCACCTGCCAAAAGGACCCTGTGCCTGTTAGCAGCCACTCCCACCTCCCCTCACCCCAGTCTCCCAGCCTGAGGCAGTTGCTGATTTATTTCCTATCTCTGTAGATTTGCCTATTTTGGAGAGTTCACATAAATGGAATTACAAAATAAGTGCTCTTTGTTACTGGTTTCTTTCACTTAGCATAATGTTTTTGAAGTTCATCCATGCTGTGGCATGTATTACTACTTCATTTGTTCTTATTACCAAATAATATTCCAATGTGTGGCTATACTATGCAATTATTTTATATTTTGGTTAATTACCAATTGACACATTTCAGCTGTTATGAATAATGCTGCTATGAACATATGTGTACAGGTTTTATGTGGACATGCTTTCATGTCTTGTGAGTCTGTGCCTAGGAGTGGAATTGTTTCATCATATGGTAACTATATGTTTAACATTTTGCAGAGCTGCTGTTTTCCAAAGTGGGTGCACTATTTTCCATTCCCATCAGTGAATGTATGCATAGGTTTCCAATTGCCATCTTTACCAGCACTGGTTATTGCTTGTCCCTTTGCTTATAGCCATTCTAATGGATATCTAGTGGTATCTCATTGTGGTTTTGATTTTCATTTCTCTGATGGTGGCTAATGATGTTTGAACATCTACTAATGTGCTCATTTGCCATTTGTATTTTTTCTTTGGAGAAATGTCTGTTCAGATCCTTTGAGGCCTATGTGATTTTATGCCCTTTTTGTTTAAGAAGAAGAAAATTTGGGAGAACAACTATTTTTTCACTTTTTTTTGTGAAATTACCACAAATTATAACCTATGTGTTCCACTTTTATTCATTTTGCATTTCATGGTAGCGGCAGACCATCCCTTCCACACTTCACCCAGGAGGGCACTCAAATACCATCCTCTCAGAGGCTGTTCTTGATAATCCAGCCTGAAGAGGGATTATCAACGCCCCCCACTCCCATTCTAGTCTTACCCTGTTTTGTTTTTCTGCAGCGCTCTTGTCACTCTCTGATATTATAATTAAGTTTTACTGGTTTGTCTCCCCCCAATGGAATGCAAGCTCAGTGAGGGTCCAGACTGCGTTGCTCACTTAGTGTATTGGTAGGGCCTCAGTAAATACTGGTTGAATGAATGAATGAATGAGTGAGTGAGTGAATGAATGAGTGAAAAGTCTGGGCTCTATAGTCCAGTACTTACTTGTTATGGGAACGTGGGCAAGTTATTTAACTTCTCTCAGGTTTAACACTTTCGTTTTTTAAAATCACAGTAGTAAGAGTTTTTGTGTTTAGGGTGTCTGTAAGGATTAAATTAATTGAGAATGTAAAGCCCTAAACACTGCCAGGTACTCCAAAGGAAAAAAAACCTGTTAGTTTTTATCCCTTTCCTTGCTTTTGACATGTTTCATAGACTAATGACTCCATGTGTGCAAGGAATATGTGTTTACTTCTTTTAAAAGATTCAAGTGAACAAAATTCTTTCTTTCCCCCCCCTCTTTTCCAGGGGATGCAGAGAGCAACTAACGTCACATACCAAGCTCATCACGTCAGCAGGAACAAGAGAGGTCAGGTGGTGGGGACCAGAGGTGGCTTTCGTGGTTGCACGGTTTGGCTAACAGGTACAGTCAAAGAGTGATAAATCAGCTTATTTCAAAAGAGTGTTATAAACAGCCTTGAACTAGGGGTAAGCATATTTAAATTTTGAGCTGAGTTCTTTTATCTTGAGTGTCATAACATGTAACCGAAAGTTGCTTAATAACATATTTCCTTTTAGTAATTGTTTTTGTCCTTTACAGAACTGCTGTTAAAATAAAGGGATGCATCTAAAAACTACCATCTAGTCAATAACTGTTACATTCTGTAGACTTCTGAATGAAAATAGGACTTGTGTTCTGCCTTCAAGAAGCTAATAATGTATACCATATGAAGAGAAAGAAAGAGTGATAATCTGTTTCTGTCATTCAGCTTTTGTTTCTGATTGGTTCTTGTGTTGGTTTTCCCAGAGTCTTTGGGTTTAGTCATAGCAGACTGGGGTGATGGTAAATTCATGCAGATTTAAAAAAGATACATACTTTCACTTCTAGGAATTGTGTATTTAATAATGTGTGTTTAAAATTTAGATACATCTCACCAAATTGCCTACTTAAACTTTATACCTATTTACTCTCCTACCAATAGTTTGGGAAGAGGGTCCATTTTCCAATGTCTTCATCAACATTAGATACTACCAACCCTTAAAATTACGGCTGATTGTTAAAAACATTTCCATGTTGGTTTCAGTATTAGACAGTTCTGTTTGTTTTTGTATGAAAGAAGACAGTACTCTCTTACATCTTCTTATCTCAGTCTCTTAAAAATTTTTTTATTTATTGATTTCAGAGAGAAAGAGGAAGGGAAGAGAAAGCAGGGAGAGAGAGAGAGCGGAAGAGAAAAAAAGAAAGAAACAGAGAAAGAGAAATTTCAGTTTTGTTGTTCCCACATATTTATGCATTCATTTGCTGATCCTTTTATGCGCCCTGACCAGGGACTATGTTCTAACCAACTGAGCTACCCAGCTAAGCCCCATCTCCTCTTTCTAAAGACTAGCTTGCCAAATTGTTACTTTTTCATTGTCCAGGTTTGTAACACTCAACGTTCTGTTCTCAAATCTTAAATTTCTACAATTTTTTGTATTTGAATTCTATAAGTAAATTGATTCAGTACTTATGTCACCATCATTTCTTTTTATTATGGCATGCCCACTCATGAACTCTTTCTTTGAGTCAAGTTTTAACTTCCAGCATTTCATTGCTAAGTAGTTTTGGTACGATAATTTTCTGCTGGGTTCTAAATTCCCCGAGTTTTTATTTTTGAGAATGACTGTGTTATGGTAGCTTGTCTTGTAAAATACATATTTGGTTCATACTCACTTTGCCTGGAATTCATAAAATAGTACTCTACTGTCTTCTAGTATTAAATGATGTGTGAGACCAATCTAATTTTTGCCCGTTATTTTAGGAGCTTTTCCTTTTTCATCTGGATGCCTGGAGAATTCTTTCTTTTCCTATATTTTCTTTTGGAAGTTCAGTTTTCTCATTTAGGCTCTTTACACACCTGCAGTTGATTTTTGTGCGCAGTGTGAGGGAGGCATCCATTTTTATTTTCCATATGGGTAATCAGCTGTCCCAAGAGCCTATATTGATGACGGTGTCCTTGGTCTCTGATCTGCGGTGCCAGCTGTCATCAGGTTTCCACTTACATGTGGATTTGTTTCTGGGCTCTGATCTGTTCCACTGGTATACTTGTCGATTCCTCTATTATTACCACTCTGTTTTAATTATTATACATTTATAAATCTTGAAATCTAGTGGAGCAAGTCTTCTTACCTTATTCTTCATCAGGAATAAGAAGATATATTTTCTCTTTGCATCATTGTATAAAATTTTTAATTAGTTTAACCAATTCCTCCAAAACCCTGTAGGGATTTAGACTGGGATTACATTATATGCAAAGTTCAGTTTGGTGGAAAATTGATTTTTAGAATATTGGATATTGGACACTCCTTTTCTTCAACATGGTATATTCCATTTATTTTACATTAGTGATGCTTAAAAATACTCTTTGTCAGATTTTTTGGTACTTGCTCTGTGTTTCTGTATGTATTCAGTTTTGATAAATGTGTGATTAAAAAAACATGTATTTCCCTCATATGTACAATATTTTACATATGTTCATTAGATCAAGTTTGTTAGTTATTAAATCTTCTACAGCCTTCATTAATTTTTTTTTTCCTTGTTGATGATGTTGGAAGTGGAGGTCAAGATTTCTTTCTTCTCCTGCATGTCAGTAGTTTAACTGGCATCTGTCAGTGTATTGATAGTTTGTATGCCATTCTCCTGGAACATGGCTTGTTTTTTCTCAGATTTTATTTCAGATAAATTTTTTTGTTTTGTATCTTTACACTGGTTGGTATAATAGTGTCCCGAGACTGGTGAAGCAAATCACTGCTAAGTGGGTGGCTTCAAACAATAGAAATTTATCCTCTCATTGTTCTGGAGGCTAAAAGTCAAGTCAAGGTGTTGACAGGGCTGGTTCCTTCTCTGTTCCCTGCCTCTCTCCCTGCTTGTAGAGTTTGCTGGCAGTCCTTGGTGTTCCTTGGCTAGTACTAGATGCATTATTTTAACCTCTGCCTGTCTTTGCTACACATTCTCTCTTTGTCTTCATATGGCTGCCTTATAGGGACGCCAATTATTAGATTTAAGGTCCGCCCTAATCCTGTACGATTTCATTTTAATTTAACTAATGACATCCACAAAGACCCTATTACCAAGTAGGTTAACATTCTGAGTTTCCATGTAGACAGGAATTTTGGGAGGACCCTATTCAAACCAGCACAGTCGGTTTCTCTTTTTTCAGGTATACCATACCTTAGTTTTGGGTTGTCTATCTTGTTTTATCTGTTGTTTTTCTGTAACTGCTTTAATTTCTTCACATTTTTTTCATGTTCACTCTAATTATCTCAGTAACACCTCTGTGTCAGTGGTACAATTTTCAGCAGTGTCAATTCTCATTTTGTATCAAATTAGATATATACATAAAATATATATAAATATACGTGTGTATAAATAGGTACTTTTATTTTAATTTAGGTTGTCTTTACTGTATAACAAGTTTAGATTTCCAGGTTTCAGTTTTATTTTTGTCTTTGATACTTGTTTAGCTGGTAGTTAAAAATAACAACAAAAAACCCTAGAACCTGCTCATCCTCAGCCTCCATCTCTTTGTTTTAGTTTTATTGCTGTCTAACAAAGTATCTAAAACCCAGGGGTGTAAAACACCCATTTTAATTTGCTAAGCATTTCGGGTGGGTAAGGAATTCAGAAGGGCTCAAGGAGCAGTTTGCACCTAAGTCTTGCTTGTTTGCAGTCACGCTGGTGTGAGCTGCAGTCATCTGAGGGCTCAGCTGGGCTGGGTGGGCAGTGACTCAGCTGACTGTTCGTCAGCTGGGATGTTAGCTGGCTGAGGCCATTGCCTGAGTAGCTGCTGGTGATCTCAGGGTATTTAATAGCCAAATTAACCGTCCAAAGAGAAGCCGCACAGCCTTTTCTGACCCAGTCTTAGAAGTCACACATTGTCATTTTCAGTACTTTTTCTTTTTCATTCTGGAATGTAACAGTCTTTTTTTTTGCAAGTTTAATAAATCGCCACGGTTTATTTAACAAGGTGGTGCCCTGAGGAGGAAGCAAACCCACAACCTTTTGGTGTACCAGGTGACACTCCAACCAGCCAGGCACCCCGCCAGGGCTGTAAAGCTCTTTTTAATTAAAGTATAGTTGACATACGGTATTATATTAGTTTCAGGTGTACAGTATAGATTTGACACTTGTATACCGTATGAAGTGATCATTACGAGAAGCCTAGTAACCAGCTGCGACCATATAAAGTTATTGCAGTGATGTTTACTGTATTCCCTATGCTGTACTGTAACCCCATGACTTATGTTATAATTATGAGTTTGATCTCTTAATCCCCTTCACCTTTTTGCCCATGGTTCTACCTCCCAGGCCTCTGGCAACTATCAGTTTGTTCTCTGTATCTTTGAGTCTGTTTGTTTTGTTTTGGTTGTTCATTTGTTTAAAGTTCATTTAGTTAAATAGCCATTCTGATAGATGTGAGGTCTCAGTTGTTTCACTACATTCTTTCTGGCCACGAGTGAGTCCGAAGGCCAACCCGGGTTGGAGGGCAGGGAATGAGGCTGTACTTCGTCATGTGACAGTCCACCTTGTGGAAGCGCTTGCAGGATGGGAAGTGTCTGTTGTGGCCATCTTTGGAAAATACAGTCTGCTATTTTCATATTAGTAAAAGTTTTTAATATATGAAATAGTTCGCACTGTGTTGGTCCTCTCAACATATCCTCCTTCGTATTTATTTTTAGTTCGCCTTTCATACAACCATGACTTCCTTCAAGAGCATCACTACATTAGATTTCAATATTCTATCTGTTGCCTCATAGCTGCCTTAGTTATGAATTCTGTAATTACACATTCAGCAGTGTGGCAAGTGATAGAGCCTAAATGTGCTCTTGCCTTTTCCTTTTCTTTCCTTTTTGTTGTTCAGTGAATCAACATCATTGGTAGAGGAAGGTGAGTTGAAATGAGGTTAGTTTATCAAGGTTAATTGTATTAATAAATTGGATTCCAGTTACTTTTACCTATGAGAGGTGATGATCCTGGGATACAGAGGTTATTTAATAATATTTTACTTTTGTCATTTTCCTTCTCTTGTCAGAAGTAATTTGGGCATGTAACTTTGTTTTAAAATTGTTGTGCAGCTTTATAATGCTAGTAACAAGAAACAAAGTATCTACCCAATCTTGTCTAATATTAAAATTGATTAAGCTCTTTGAAGTTTATCAGTGATTTCTGGATACCTTTGGTCATAGATAGGAGTTATTTAATACGCAAATGCTTATTACATTTAAGCAATAGATTCTTTTTAGCTTAGAGGTAAATCTTACAGAGAAATATTTGTAAGATTGTTACTGAGATACTGCTGTGAATAATGAATGTAATTAAGCCTGTATTAAAATTCTTTATTACTAAGTAGTTATCCTTCTAACTCTGTGTGTGGAATCTGTGTGGACTGTATCATTTTAGGCTTATCTGGAGCAGGGAAGACCACAGTGAGCATGGCTTTGGAGGAGTATTTGGTTTGCCATGGTATTCCATGCTATACTTTGGATGGCGACAACATTCGTCAGGGTCTCAATAAAAATCTTGGCTTTAGTCCTGAAGACAGAGAAGAGAATGTTCGACGCATTGCAGAAGTTGCTAAGCTGTTTGCAGATGCTGGCTTAGTATGCATCACAAGTTTCATATCGCCTTACACTCAGGTATGTGACTTTGTGCTGATTATATTTATTGGGAATATGGAATTAGGCAAAACAGATAGTTTAAACATTAACATCTTTAACATGTGCTTTGAGGCTAAATCCACATTCAAATAATTAACCTACAACATTTTTGTCCTGCAACTTTCTGAGTAAACTCACTTTTGATAAAATCTGCTATGAACTGTGCCCCCGCCCCAAAGTGTAACCAAAGTTGTTGACCTTAAGCCAATGGCCAAATTATTTCATGTTGACTGTTCAATTCAATATGTTTATAGAAAATATTCAGCAGGTATCAGATACCAGGGAAAATCTTGTTTCTTAACATGTGTCCTACCATGTTAGCTTCTTTGCATAAAATTCTGGAGTCTCATCTGTCATCATACTCCTCTTATTTCAGAGACCATGGCAGCATCAATTCACGTGTTTGTGTTTCCATGAAAAAATGTTTCTCACCACAGGATTTTGTTGCCCCCAAATGAAAGACACTCCTCTCCTTCCTGCTTTCCCCTTCTTCTCAGCCTCATTCAGTCCTGTTCATGATTTGAGACTCAATTAGATATTTCCTCCTCCTGAGTACCTTCCCTTTCTTGAAACCTCAGGGTTTGTTGGGTACCTCTCTTTGCTGTCCTTGTTATTGTACCTTAATGCAATGGCAGCAGCAGCAGTAGTAATAATAGTAGTGATAAAAGCAGCTAACATTTATCAGACATTTACTTTATACTGATAACTGTCATAAAGTGCTTTTATGTGAAATAACCCATTTAGTTCTCATCACCCAGTGAGGAAGGTGGAGGTGAAGAAACAAGTGTAAATTACCAAGGCCACACACTATAAGTGGTAGAGCAAGGATTTGTACCTGGACCATTTCCCTAGAACCCATGCTCTTGCCTGCTGTCCTTTGCTGCTCCTTCAGGGCTGGAGCTACATCTTATTTATCTTTGTAGTCTTGATGCCAAACCCTGTTCCTGGAAAATAGTAGATATTTAGTGTTTGTTAAATGATAGCATTACCCTTTAGGAAGCCCAGATATTAGAGAACAGGGAAGTTAGTTTAGTGGTTAATGGCAGGGGCTTTGGAGTCAGGCACAGTGGGCTGAAATCTCAGCTCTGCCCTTTACTGTTATGACCGTGGACAGTTCCCTTAAGCTTCCTAAGCTCAGACAAGGCCTGTGTCCTAGGGAATTCAATCTGAAGATTGAATTCAAAGCTCTCAGCAAGTGGCCTGGTGTGTAGTAAGTATTCAGTATGTGTAATAAATACTAGCACAACTCTAGTACTGTCATAAACAAATTTGGATGGTGCCTTAGACCTTAAAAAAAACAACAAAATTTGAGTTATAAGATTTATAGATAAGTGTCAGGTTGAGTGTTAATCTTTTAGGCTCACTTAATTGAACCATGGCAGGAACCCTAAAAGATTCTGTGAAGAGTAGCTACTTTTCTTTCAGAAATGCTGGAACCTGTGTCAATGTATGAGTTTAAAGTGTATTGATAATGAAGTATATAAGCAGAATGAGAGGTGTTTAGAGTTCCTGAATCCTTGGATATAAACAAGTTTTACAGTTATAATGTAAGGTGATAGTCTTGCACCTTCTGGGAATGTTTGCAAGTGTTGGAAAAGGAGAAAGTCAGTGACACCTGATTTGGGGAGTGGGGAGTTTGAAACGGTATGCGGATATGATTTTTGGCTCCCTATTTCTATAGTGTGGAGCAAAACTTTGGTCGATCTCATCTCTCAGAGCACTAAGAATGAAATGTGGACCGTGGTTAGGGCATATCAGTATGATATTATTTGGATTGAGTCATATAATACAGGATATGTGCATTTTTCCATGTCACCTCTGAACTTGAGCATCTTGGTTCTAAAATAAATCCAATCGTTTCTATTCATAAGGAGTTGGTATGGTTAGGTAGTATGGTAGGAACACCAGATATAAAAAGTTATAGTATCTTGAGGCAAGTGATTAGGAAAATGTAAATAAAAGGTGCTGTGGAAGATTCACAGAGGAGATGCTTGAAATGAGTCACGAAGAATTAATCAGAGTATCCCATTTACCAGTTAGACTGGAGGGAGAAAGCTATTTCAGATGGAGGAGACAGTATAGTATTTACAAAGCCATGACCATGTGAAGGCATTTGGTCTTTGGGGGACTGTAGGTAGTTTGGTAAAACTGCTGTGCAGGGGTTGAATGTGAGGGGCAGTGAAGCCAGAGCAATTTGCAGAGGGCTGAGGGTGGACTCTGGGCTGTGCAGGCCCCATGGGTAGGTCACAGTTTGAGACCATTTTGGGGAATGCTGTCACTGAGTTTGCACCTTAGTGGGCTCACCCTTGAAGCTGGGAATGAGAATGGCTTGGAGGTAAAAGACTGGTTAGGAGGTTTTTGGAGTAAATTTGAACAGAGACCATGGGAGTAGAAAAGATGGGGACATATTCAAGGGCTATTGAGCAGTAGCAGCAGCGAGACTTGGTGCCTGGCTGAGTATTGCTTTTCTTGGGGGAGTGGGGTGTGAAGGATGGTGCTTTCTGAATAAAGATGGTATGATTGAGTTAGAAAATACCAGTTAGGATGGGAGAGGTTGAGTATTTCATTGTAAGTGGGTTAGAATTGAAGTGCTAGTGGAGCGGCGAAGTGGAGATGACCACTGGGTCACTGAAAAAATGGGTCTGCAGCTCAGGAAAGTAGAATTGAGATACACAGATTTAGGAATCATTAACTTCATTAGTTGAAACCTATATAAAGTTGAGTGTACAGACGAGTATAGAATGAGAGGAGCGCCACTGATGGAAACTCGTGAACACCTTCATTTGGAAGAACAGCCGGAGCAGTTTGAGTACATCAGAGTAAGATCTTTGACAGAGGTACATGGTGGGTGCTCTGGGAACCCAGAGAAAGCAGTCGCCTCAGTCAGTCTGGGCATGCGTGGCCGTCTTTCTGGAGGATGTCACCTTGGAGATGTGCTGGGAGGGAGCAGCTTGCTTTTAGCCAGAAGAGTGCCGAGGCGGGTGTTCCTTCCAGGGAGACGGCAAAGGTGTAAGGCGGAACACTGAGGTAGAGATGAGGGGTTTGCATCTCTCAGAGTTCTGATGGACGTTGTGCGGGGTGAAGCTGCCTTCAGGCCTGCTCGGGCTGAGGTGGAGCGTTATCCAGGAGAGGCCTGACGACACCTGCATGCAAGCTGCACTTTGGCTGAGGTTTCTCATAAAATCGAAAGGAAAGTTTCGATGGGGCAGCCATTGTTTTCCCTCCTGGAATTCCCCCAACAGCTCCAATTTTAAGAATTGTATGCCTTTTAAAATGGCTATGGAGAATGGATGTGTTAACCTAATAATTTCTTGGATTTTTTGTTTAAATTTTAAAAACATAAGTTAAATTTTATATGACACATTTTTTTACTCATCCTTGATATTCACATAGTACCTTTGGTTTATATTAGCATTTTTTATTGTTTCTCTACCCATCTTTTTTCTAAGGATCGTAACAATGCAAGACAAATTCACGAGGGGGCAAGTTTACCTTTCTTTGAAGTATTTGTTGATGCTCCTCTGCATGTTTGTGAACAGAGGGATGTCAAAGGACTCTATAAAAAAGCACGGGCTGGAGAAATTAAAGGTAGGTAATGTTTTTACCCAGTTTCTCTTAGATATTTTACCTTACCATATGTGAGACTGATAATCTTTCTGAAGAGCCTGGGAGTATTCAAATGACTTGGTGCTCCTTGAGAAGAGAACGTAGGTTTTATTCCACTGTTGTAGCCTCAGGCCTAGCAGGAGTACCTGGCACTGCATGTACATACTGACTATCACTGATGATGTTGGGCTCCTAATCAGAAGGCAGAATTTTAGAGGGTTGGGACTTTGGGGGCTGATGGACATCTAATTGATACAATTAGGTGCCAGCATTAGATTGGATATCAATGGCCAGCTGCTGCCACTTAGCTTTTTGTTCCTTTCATAATGTAGGAAATTTCAGAGCCATTGGGGAAAATGCCTGAATTATAAGCATCTTGAGAGAAAGGACAATGTCTTGTTGTTATATATAGCATAGTGCTTGGAATGATTGCTTATTCATTCTGTGTACAGTTGTTGAATTAGATTGAATTAACACATCACTGATTCCATCAAAACATATACACTGTGCTTTTTAGGTTTTATGGTCTACTCCAAGAGCTTCAGTTATGATGAGCATTTAGACATAGAAGGAGACATTTGTAATTTGTCTGCCGTGGCCTTTGATACCAATCATATTGTTTCTCTTTTAGACATCCTTTGACATTAGTCCTGTTATTAACAGAAACAGGACCTGCGAGCATTTAAAAAAAGAAAATAGATTACTCAGGCAACCTTGTTTAGGGATCCGTGATTCTTGCAGGGAACTTTTGTTTACTTTCTCAAATGGGAGTGTGCTAGCCTGGGACTATTGCAGAAGTTCCAGGAGATCAGTGAATTGTAAGTTTTAGCATTCAGCTTCTGGCCCTGAAAAGACAAGGGGGAACGGGGAGGACGATGCTTATTCTCCCGGGTTCTTTTTATTTTGAGCATTGGAAAAATCTACCTGCTGTCAGAAATCTGTTTCCTCGGGCAAGGCTGATACGCACCAGTTGTGCCACCGTGGAGGCTCAGTTTCACTTATTCAGCTGACACTTTCTTGACTCAGAAAGGACAGGCTGCGTAGCCTGAATAATTTATGTCAATGAGAGGGAAACCAGTTACTCTTTAACTTCTATCCACCTCTCTGTTGATGGCTAGTTTTCACTTCAGTTTTTTGAGAGTTTTGGCAAAGAGAAACAAAATGATGTGTGCAGGATCCTTACTAACTTTAATTGTAGTTGGTTTTGCTGTTTTTGTGAAGCTGGATCGTTGAGGGAGGTAGATTTTTCTGCCTGGCTGGAATAAGCTACTTGTGAGCAGGGATAATACCGTGAACATTTTTATATCAATAGAATTTAGTGCGTGGCCCAAAAGCAAAATACCTGGCAAACACATAGTAAATTCTTATTGGATGGGTTAGAAGGGGGAGTGCAAATCAGATGCTCAACACACATTTATCAGTGCTTTCTATTGGCAAGGTATATATTTGGTGTTTGGGATGCAAAGGTGTGTAAGACTGCATCCAGAATACCCCAAGTCACTTACAGTTTGCGTTCTGTATCTGGGAGTGTGTTTGTATTAGTTTAGTTTTCTAAACTAATACGTGTTATTTGCTTAATTTCCCAAGAGTTTCTCAGTTACTCTGTTTAGACACTGATAAAATGTTCCTTAGGTTAAAATATATATATATGGGTATATATGGATATGTGCACACACACTTATTTGAAGTTTGCTATGGGGCTAGAGTTCCTGATTGTAGAGTTGTTTTTAAAAATTACTCATTATGTTGTGCTTAAAAAGTTCCCTATCAATGCAGTTTCCGAACCTTGATGGCAAACATTCAAGGACAGATGAGGTTGCATACACTCAGCAGATCTCAGGATTTGATAGATCTTTAGATATTTACAAAACTGTAAATATATCGCTCTGTTAGCCATTCTAATACCTAGATTATTTTCATGATTACTGCTCAAATAGTTATTATCTACTGAGGTATAAACATTTTTCTTAGAATGTACATGAATTGTAATCACTTATGGGATAAATTAGCTCAGAAGACAGTTCCTTGACTTTTAAAATGTGAAGCCAGATTTCCTAATGTACTTACTGACAGTCAGCCATTGCTGCACATTAGCTTTACCTGGGGACCTTTTAAAAATTCAGTGCCAAGGCTGTCCCCATTCAAGTGAAATGAGAATCTGGTGGGAGTGGGACCCAGTGGTTCCAGTGTGTAGCTACATGGAGAATCAGAGCTTAAGAACCAGTGTTTTAACCAGCTATTTTATTGTGACTTACCACTAAATACTGCTGGGAATATTAATAAAGCAGAGGTTTCTTCCTGGGTTTAGGACTTCATGTGATACTTAAAAATACAAAATAAAAAAAATGAAATAAGAGGGCTGTAGGCTTGCATGTAATTTAGAACTTTTTGGAGAAATGTAGCTCTTAGTAATAATGATTTTAAATTCATGTTTACCCTTTCAGTCCAAGGATGATGTGAGCATTCGAAGGCAGACAGGCCTTGTGTGACTTAGGTGTGGGTGGTGGCAGAAGTATAAGGTGGGAATAGTGTATCTTCAGCTCAGCCTATTGCTGGGAAACTTCCGTATTTTTTTCTTTTTTTGGCAGTTAAGTGGGGCAATCTAAACAGTACTTAATACTAAATTGATTATATTTGACTGTGGAATATATTTTGTGATATAACAGAGTTACCTTCCTAATTTGTATTTTGCTTGAGTGAAATAGTAGTTACTTTGTCTTGCCTGAACACTTAATCTGGTGGCAGAAGAAGCCTGTAGAGCTTCAATGTGGCTGTAGATAATCTTTGTGATTAAAATACACTGATTTGGTGTCAGCTTCTGCATTGAGAGGAAAAAACCTGGTCAATTTCAGCTTTATGCCCAGCGCTTAGGTACTATATTCTGTATTCCTGTGGAGAAATGAGGTGCTCTGGATCAGTTGGTGTTAATTCTTCGGTTTTCACAGGCAGCTTAGGCATTTAAAAGGAAAAAGAAAATGGTGTCACAAGTATAGTTGATCTTCATTAATTAAAGATTCCATATTTGCAGACTGGCTGCTAACTTCAACATATGAAACAAGTGTAACTTATTTTTAGTCTTCATCCATTATCGCCTGGTACCTTTTATAGGTTTCACTGGGATTGATTCTGAATATGAAAAACCAGAGGCCCCTGAATTGGTGCTGAAAACAGACTCCTGTGATGTAAATGACTGCATCCAGCAAGTTGTGGAACTTCTACAGGAACGGGTAAGAGGTCAAAGAGGGAATCACCAGAGGCTAATTCTCTCCTTTGGATAATCACATGCTCCAAAAAAGGTGGTGGTACTATGGAGGAATGTCTGTATTTTAAATTCTTTATAGTGCTCACAGTTTTCTGTATGTGTATATCTCCGTGTTAGGTGTTGGGGGGGGGGACACTATATATGTACAACATATGAAATACCCCATCAGTGTAACCCACAGGAGACTTTACAGCCAATAATGTTTTATTTTACCAGTAATTCTACCACACAAGAACCTAACAGAAATTTCAGCCTTGATTTATTCAGCTTTACAACTTGGCATTGTTATATTTTTTTTCAGTTAAGGTTCGTAAGGTAGTGCCATGGTAGCCAACCTCTCCTTTGAACCTGGGAGGCCTTGGAGGGGGAATTTTCTGCTGCCTCACATGCATCAGCAGATCCCTGGTTTGTGTCAGTTCAGGATCCTGGGCCAAGAGTTTCCTATACCTCCCTCTGTTTGGCAGATGATATATAATTCATTAATTTTTTTCTTTTATAACATGAAGTGGAATTTAAAAATACTGTTGAAGGAAGACTACACACATACACATGCACGCATGTACGCATGTGACTACTTCTGTTCTGGAATGTATCCTCCATTGATTTTCTCCACAAAGTTAATTCTTAAATGAGCATTAGGGCCCATGGGAAACCTGTGAATGAATACGTGACGTTCAGCTCAGAGTTTATGTTTAGTTGGTTGTCAAAGAGTGTATTTGCCTGCTGCACTCTTATTGCAAGTTACCTGATGTAATGTGCATTTTCCATAACAGACTTCTCCTTAGTGGTCTGGGGGTGGCAAATGCATTTCAGCTTCATTGTCATCACAAAGTCATTTGTGAGGTTTTCCAAAGGTGGCTTACATGAGCTCACATAGTAGAGTTTAAATATAGATTGGGAGGTGAAGAGGCTGAATATGTAGAGTGCAGTGGTGTTTTAAAGTAAGAAAGAATAACCAGACCGTCCTAGCTTTGTAGTGTGTGCTTTGAATGGGGATGTGAAGATTAGAGGCTCGGAATTACCCGTTGTTATGTGTAAGAATAGAATTGTGCTAGGAGCGAATGTCATTGGCAGAGATGGAAACCATCAACAGCAACTCCCATTAGTTGGATTCTTACCATATACAAGGCCCCGTTTTAGGCACTTCAAGCAGTATCACATTTAGTTTGTAATACAACTCTGAGAAGTACAATAGTTATAATTATCCTCCTTTTACCGATAAGGAAACAAGTTCAGGGAGGTGCAGTTATTTGTCCCAGTGTAGTTCCTCAGGCAGAGTGGGGTTTGAACACAGTCTGATGGATTCTGCAGCCCCCACCCTTGCCTTTTTACTGCACTACCTTTCCTAATATCTAGAGGCTTTCATTTTCTACGTTATTTCTGAAATATGAATTTTTTTTTTTTTAACTCTTTCACATCCCTTGGCCGTTTGCTCCCTCAGTGTAGTTGGAATTAAGAAATTGAGAAGAATGGGCGTTTCATTGACTCAGTATTTTTAGAAGACCTTTTAAAATACTTCAGAGCAGATAAAGACAACACTGTCTGGGCTGGAAAGAATGTTTATTATGTAAAGAAATAAACTGCCGTGCCTGTCCTCGGTTAGCGTGGAATGTTTGTTCTATGTAATGTCAAACAAAAAAGTATTTGTAGGTCATCTGATTTACCTTGGGAAGCTGAACCACACTTCACCAGATGAATTATGATTTACTTAGGTTCTAAAATCCAAATCTAAGTGGTTAATGAGTTGACTTGGGCTTATGCCAATATAACAAAAACTTTATTTCTAAAACAGTCACGCTAATTAAATTGTATCTCCTCTTCAGGGTCAGTTTGTTAGACTTGAAGGGTTTTTCCTTACACCAACCAATTCTCTGTTTCTCTGACATCAGTGGATGTCAAACAATTCATTTCAATTCTCATGCGATCTATCCAGAGTTAGCTCAGACTCCACAGACCGCGCAAGACTGCCTCTACTTCAGATGTCAGCTGCAAATAGGGCGCCCAGGCTACAGACATTTTTGCCCTCCTGACTGCAAGTTTGAGGTGCTCCCCTGATGCCTTCCCTGGCTTTAGTAATTCCACTCATAGAACTTGGGAAAGCACTTTACTTACTGTTACCAGGTTGATATAAAGGACACAGCTCAGGAGCTGCAAAATAGAAGAGATGCATGGGCCACGTGCGTGGAGCTTCCATGCTCTCTCTGAGCATGCTACCCTCAGTGTGTTCACCAGTCCAGACCTCTGCAGCTGTCCTTTAGGGGTTTTTATGGCGGTTTTATCATGCAGGGATGATTGATTAAATCTTTGGCCTTTGGTTAAGGTCAGTCTCTGGTCTCCCACCAACAGTCATCTAGGGCTAAAGGTGGAAGTTCCGATCCTCTAATGACTTGGTTTTCCAGACTGAGCCCCTCAGCCTAAAGCAGCCATTTTCAATCTTCTTCATTTCGTGGCACACGTAAACTAAACTAATTACTAAAATTCTGTGTACACCAAAAAATGTTATATTTTTTGTTTATCTGACAAAATATAGGTATAATTTTGATTCATTTACACTGGATAGCTGTTTTTGTGCTGGCTTTTGGCTTTTTTTTTTTGTTTGTTTGTTTTGACAAACTAAGGGAAAAGAGAGAGGTCAGTGCCCCTGACTAAATAGTCAGGTATTGCATGTTTTAAAAATTCTTGCTGTATACTAGGTGAAAATTGCTGGCTTTTGAGCCATCTCATTATTCTACCAAAGGCACTCCTAAGCCACTAGGAGATTCCATGGGTTTTAAGAGCTCTATGCCAGTCCTCAGCCGGTGTGGCTTGGTGGATTGAGCACTGGCCTGCAAACCAAAAGGTCACAGGTTCTGTTTCCAGTCAGGGCACATGCCTGGGTTGCGGGCTAGGTCCCCAGTTGAGGACACGTGAGAGGCAACTGATTGATGTTTCTCTCACACATCAATGTTTCTCTCCCTCTCTTTCTCCCTCTCTTCCCCTCTCTGTAAAAATAAATAAAATCTTAAAAAAGAAGGGGGGGGGGCTCTATCTAGGACATGGAGATAAAGATCAAATATATATTTCCCGTTGTTCCACCATTTTTTATAAAAGCAAAGCGAGTAGTATGTTTTGGGACCTATAGAGAATGCAGGTGTTTGAAAGGTGCTGTTTCTGTGGTGAGAAATGACAGTTTTTCTATCTGGTGTTTGGTATGACTTTGGAGAGGCTCTCCTGAAATGGATTTTACCTGGAATTGTTTTGTTTTGTTAACCTTCTTTGCTAAGAAATGGCATTGGTTTCACTGTCCAAGAAAAATATGTTTTTAGTGTGCTGTACAATGGATGGGTATTTTAGGATGATGGGTATTTTGGTTAGCATAATGTCCTCTATCATCTCTGGATTGTTTTATTTGCCTTTCTGGCCTATGTGACATCACGGGATAGATTAATGTGGTCATTAATATTAAGACTGAATTTGTCAGTATTTTGTCAGAGCAAGTATATTTCCTAATGTGCTTCAGGTGGCATATACTTATTCAAGAAAATGAAAGACACTGAAAAATACTGAGGATTTTGGATTAAAATTTTTCTCCTAAACCTTGAATGGTCACTAGATGGCCTGCTAGTATTATGTTTTAACTTGGTGTGTTATGACATGAGGAAGTAGGCTTCTTGCTGCTTGTTTTAATCTAAAGTGATATTTTAAATACTGTTTTTAAATCTACCAGGAACTCTAGATTTACTATTGCTATAAATTATTTAAAGGTTTTTCTTTTTATAAAATGTTGGGTTAGTGCTCTAAATGGATTTTATTCCGCACATTAAAAACCAGGCTTTGCAGCTCTGTTTTAAAGTGTTGCCAGACTGTTGTTTGGTGTTCATGCTTTGGATGCATGTAGTTTAGATAATAGAAATTTAATATTTACCTAAAACTATGCATGAGCTCTAACATTTAAATCTGTTGAGCAGATTTGGCTTAAGAAAAAAGTACACAAAATACTTGAAGGAAAAACTTAAAATGTGGAATCACTATGTTTACTAACATGTTCAGAGCTCTCTAGGAAGATTAAAAAGAAAGGACAAGAGCTACTATGTATTTTCAGGTAGTGAATATAGTGACTATTGGTTTTTGGCCTGCCAGTTTCCAGATAAAAACAAACAATTGGCTCTTTGAACAAAGATATGGATACTGTATATGTTAGATCTTAGATTGCATGTAGTCAAGCAAAACACGTTTTGAGTACTCATGTTACATTTTAAAATTAATGTTTAAACATTGATAATATCTAACCTACCTCACTGGTAGCATGTGAATTGTTTCCAGACCCCCTGACCCCCCTGCTGGGTGACTGTGGAGCTCTGAAGGTTAGATAAGGCGGGTAGGCATGTAAACACTTGCTCCTGGCCAGGTTTATGATCTGTTTTTGTTTTAAAGCAAATTCCCTGAAATAAAGGTTTTTATATGTACAATTTGAAGAAGATCCTATTGTTTTTAAATAGCTGACAGTGTCTCTGGAAATCCTAATGAATCCTCCCCAAAAGGGGAAGCTTGTGCAGCAGGGACATCACATTCTGTTGTCCAGGTACCTTGTCTCACTTTGAGGTGGTTTTACTCCGGTTAGAAGTTTAGTAGTGGTTTTGGAAATTAAAGAGATTTGTCGTTACTAGAATGTGCTAGAAACTGGCTGAGTCTGCATTCAAAAAATTCTTTTCGTTCCTGGTAGCTCTCTTGTGTCTTACACTTACAGTCTGCCTAGAACTCGCTTTCTCTGAGCACATGTTCCATGTTCGTCTTGACTCATGCTGGTACTTTCGTGTTAATTGCAAAAATACCCACCTTACGAATCTTTTTAGAAGAGAGAAACCTTTGGAACTTTTTTTTGGCATTGGTTATCAGAAGAATTTGGTATCCTAATTGTGAGGCTAAAATTCATTTTAAAATATTGCAGGGTGTGAATTTTGAAAAAGGAAGAACTTTTAAATGCTT